CTGACTAAGGATATTGAAATTCAGTACAAATGGGTAAAGAGAAGTGCAAACTCACTGGCAGATGGTTTAGCTAGGCAAGGGGTGAACAGAAACTCTTTATTTTGGACTTTATTGTAATTGTATTTGGTGCTCATTGATTGTTCTACGGAGCTAAGATTGTTTAGCCCCCTTGCTTTGTAATTTTCTTAATATTAATTAATACATTTCACAGTTATTGATCAAAAAAAAAATTAAAAAAGGCATAGATGATGATGATTTGTACTGTACGTATTTGTATTTGTACTCATTCCAAACTGAGCCTAATGGAGTCATGCTAACTTTGTTCTCAGGACCTACGGATCAAGGAGAGTCATCAAGGACAAAGCTACTAGCATTTTATCAGGGACTGAAACTTAGGAAATCATTAAGTTAAATACCTCTTATAATGGAAGGTGACTCTTGAGTAGTGGTGAGCTGGATAACACAAAACAAACTGGGACCTGGCTGTATAGACATGTAGTAAGGGAAATAAAGAACTTAATGACAGATTGACAGAATTGAGGGCTCAAATAGTAAGGGAAACACCAAGATCTGCATGGAGATTCTCTAGCCAAACAAGGGGCAGTAACCTTTTTTTTTTGGGGGGGGGTACTTCTAGGGATGTGGATCCCTTGGATTGCATACAGACTTATGGATTGGATGGGGGTGTCTAAGGCTGCCAAATCCTTTTACATCTACATTCTTTCAAACTAAATTAATAAAATGTGAATAGTTACCTATCTAATACAACTATTTTTTTTTATCATAACAGGTAAATTTCATTAAGAGGAAAGAAAGGTACAAAGGGGAGGGGTAATCTCTCTTAACTCTCTCATAAAAAAAAAAATACAAACCAGAAAAGATATTACAATTGAGCCCAAAACAAAGAGCCCCATTCACCCCTTGTTTAGCTAACTCATCAACAAAAGAGTTAGCACTTCTTTTGACCCAAATGACTTTCACTTTGATGTCCTGTGTCAGCCACTTGACCTTCTTTTCATTACTGCAGGTCAACAGTCCATTATTGTCTTCCTTCATCCAACCCATTACTAGTTTGGAATCTCCTTCTATAATCAGTTTACTAATGTTCACCTCCTTTGCTCTTTGTACACCTTCCTAAGCCACTAGAATCTCAGCCCTAAGAGAGTCACCTACTCCAATTGGTCCTGAGAAGAGAGCAATTATTTTCCCTTCCTCATTCCTTAGCACACTCCCAATGTCCAAGGGCCCTGGATTTCCAGCACTATTTCCATCAAAATTCAACTTGATAAAACCACTAGGAGGGGTTTAAAACGGGATTGAGGCTTCCTTAACCGGGGATGAAGTGGCAACTTCTTAACATTTCATCTATTGAAAGATCTTTAAAAAGTTCCAAAAACTTCAGCTAGTGTACCACTCTAGTAAAGATCACCTCCAAAATAGCTTCTTTAATATTTACTTCTCTCATTTCTGTAAATATTTTTGAATTCCTTTTCTTCCCAAATGGTCTAGCTAATGGCAGCCCTTACATATTTCCACATTATTCTTCCCCCTCTTCTTTGGCCAACTGAAAAAAGTAGAGGCACACAAGCTTTGAACATTAGGTGGCGGAGCCCACCTGCACCCAAACAAAGAAAGAAACCATTCCCAAATACCTTTAACAAAGTTGCAGGAGATTAACAAGTGGTAACAATTCTCATCATCAGCCTTACAAAGAATACACCAATGAGGGGATAAACAGCTCTTAGGTCTCTTTATTTGAAGCAAATCATATGTGTTGATTCTTTCCAGAAATGCTTTCCGACAAAAACTCCCAACCCCGTGTGGAATAGGTTTACACCAAACCTCTTCTGTAGGAAAAGACAATCCCCCACTAACATTTGGTTGGGGTTAAGGCTTTGAAAAAGGATGCACATGTGAATGAACCGGAGGGAGAAAGAGTCCAAATCCTGTTTAGGCTTTGTAGGATCTAAAAAAAGCATCTAGAATGTCCATTAGTCATGGTACTACTTATGTCCCTAATAGCCCTTCTGAATCCCAAATCCTAGCATTTGATTACTTGATGTATGAATATGTTTCATCCACTAATCTCCTGTCCATGTGCATCTAAAATATTGGAAATTTTATTTTCTTTTTTTGGTTATAGGTGGAATAGGCCAATGGATATTGGTATCTTTCTTCTAATAATTTGTGGTTCATTTGGGAAGAGAAGGGCTTTAAAAAAGGGAAGAATGGTAGAATCTTCAAATACAAGTTAAGCAATGAAGCATCCCTTGTAACAATTTGTGCTTTCTTGAAGCCTACCATAATGGTGGTTTCATATCAACCTGCATCACCTCTATTATACTCCTAAGATTAACTTGCAGCCACAGAGTTTAAAACAAAATTTTTTAGATAAATAACTTTCAATTTTATTAATTATGGAACATAAGATGTACATAATTTCTCCCTTGCTTTTATGTACAATTATGCCCATAACATTTGATCTCTCCCACCCTTGCTTTGCATCCTTTACTAGCTCATCTGCCATGCTATTGGCAGCCCTTTGTACCCATCTAGCTTTTACTTCTAGTCTTGAGTCAAACACTTTTTTATTCCATTTTTATAGGACCATAATGCTACCTCTCTGCTCTTCAATCATTCTATCAGCTTAAGTTTAGAGTTTAGAACAAGATATAATGCATTAATTTCTTCTTGATTATCATTTATCCACATTTTTTTTTTCATTTATAAACTGCTAGATGACTGTTTGTTTATGAAAATAGGCAAGCATGCCGAAGCAATATCTTCCACTCCTAGGTCAACCAATAGCTTTGTATAGGTACGTGGAAGTACTTTTAAATATTTCCAGAATATATGAAGATAACCGAGTTTTTAGAACTGTTACTGATAAAATCTGGTACTTATATTGGGTGCGCTGAGAATCTATTGCAAAATCATATTGATAGATGTTGGCCATAAAGGGATTAGGGTAATAATGTGATAAGTCCCATGTATGAGATCTCTTACCCCAAAATTCAACCTGTTCAGTGGTTATAATTACCTGATATATTGTGTTCTTTTGAAATATCAGGAAACAAATACAGTAAATTCTTTACAAGAAAGTCTAAAAGACATACAGTGACAATCATATTTATGGGCTGGTTTTGGTGCTGGAGCTGGGAGGTCTTTTAGTAGGGAACCAACTAAATATGGATTTGACGCCCAATTTGAGAGCTAGGATATCACCAGAAGATGACTTAGAGTCTTAGTTTTCTTATAGATCATTTTTATATGTTGCATTTTCTGTTTTTGGATCCCTTGTTCCCTGAAAGCAAAACTATGCTGTCTGTTTGCAGTTTCTATACTTTTTCACGCATGATGGAAGTGAAGGAAATTGTTGTAGTTTGTGATCCATCCTACAGGGACATCTTTGAAGGTTTGCAAAATTCTTGGTTTCTTGTTTCATGCATCTCTTGTTCTCGTTTTTATGCCTCTTTGATCTTCCATTAAACATAATTTTACTAAATCAGTACTTTGCCTTTTATAGATTCCGTTATTGCAAATTTCATTCATATATTCTAAACTAGAAATAAAATTAATAGCAACAACAATTTAGGAGTAAAACATTTTGTGTTTTATATTCCATTTGTGGCATTTAAGTTTCCTTTTATTGTACTTGGTTGAGCTTGATCTCTTTGATTTGATCATTGTGTTATCATAAGCATTGCAAGCTTAGGTTGTTTCTCTTGTTCTCAGACACGAAAGATAAGATTGCAGTAGACCTTAAATTCGCATTGCCTGGGAAGGAGAGACAAGATTCTGTGTTCAGTGGACTTCAGGTGCATCCAAAATATTTGTTGTTAGGTTGCTAGTGGGAAATCTTTTTTGCCTTTATTTTTCTTTAAATTGTTCAAGAAAGTCAATTTTGATTGTGGCTGTTTTATATATTATGGGCATTTTTTGACTCCTGTGTCCACCAATTAATATCAATTGGCATTTGTAGAGGGTGCAAAATGGCCATACTAGCTTCTGCTTAATTATAATTATAATTTTTGTAGGGGACACAATTTATTAAAGATGATGTGATATACAAATATCCAGCATCAGAATGATACCCAAAAATATGCCTGTATTATTTTGTTTGGTATAATATTATGAACCATTTCTTTTTATCAATAATAGGATCAACAGATTTTATTAATGATAGGAGCTTTGCTATTAGTAGGTACTAAAGAGGGAAGAAACGGAATTTATAAATTTTGAAAAATTTGACATAGAAAAAGTAGAGACCTGAATCATATTAGATGCATCAAAGATAAAAATCAAAGATTTTTGCTAAAGGAATAGGAAATTAAAAAAATGGAGAAGCTCCTTAAAAAAATTATCAATTGAAGAATATATAGAGGGTCCGAGCTGGGGAGGGATTGGTAGTTCCAAACTTGTATCCCAAAACAAGTTTGGAAATATATGGAGAGATAGGCTTGTTATGGTTAACTAAACTAATAAGATAATGAAAACAAAGAAAATGCTAGATGAATGAAGAAAGAGCACCATAGTGCCTATATTATAACAAAGAAAATGTTAACAGCGGGAAAGACCATATTTTTCTCACAGGTTCAGAAGGGATGGAGCAAGACAAGAGTTTGACTCATTGACTGCAGCAAAGAGGCAGAGCCTGGTCGTCCCTTGTTTATGGTTGAAGAGATAGTGCCAAAAAATTGAGTGTTTAGGGGTGAAGCTTGCTCGTGGGAGCTTGAGGCAGTTTCTTTTTCTGGGTCTTTCTGGGGTCTCAATGTGAAGTCTCAAAACCCTTGAGGGAGACATTGTAAGTACTCAAGCTGGTAAGAGTTCTGAGGAAAAAGAGATTAGATAGTTTTCTCAGAAGTCATTGTGGGGAAATTAGGAAGAGATCTTGGTAGGAAGATGCAGGGAACAAGGAAACTTGGGTTTCTGAAATAGCATACTTCTTTCTCAAAGTCATCAGTGATTTCTAAGGAGACAAAGAGCACCAATACTGGGCATCTAATTCACATTACCAAAGTCTTTTCCAGGCTGAAAGATGGGCTCATAAGTGCAGACCCAAGTAGCAAATTCAAGAGAGTCTATAGAAGGAAAAAAATTGAAAGACAAAACTCGTTTGATCAGAGACACTATTGTTGAGAATCTAGCAAGCTGTTTTCCAGTTGGTGGTGAGAAGGGAGATACATTAGCAGACTTCACTGAAGAGATTTTGGCAAAAAAGGGGGTGTTGTCAGGGGAAGAGGATGTTTCAGAAGAAGGTGATGAAGCTGAAGAGAAAGAGGAAGGAGTGGAGGATAGAGTTCGAAAAGTTGAGAAAAAGGTGGTGGAAACTGGTCTCCTAGTGAGTAAGAAGCTGGGCCTATTGGTTTTAGGAGGGGAAGAATTCACTAGAAAAGCACTTTGGCAGTTAGAACTACAGTACCCACTGAAGCCCTTGATATGATTAGTGTCAGTTTTTGGGTTTCTGTTTAGGGAGATTTTCTGTTGGGTGGTCTTATTAGCATTGGTTGTCTGAGGGTTGTATGCTTCGGAAGTAAGTTTATGGGTAATTTTCTGAGGTTTTTTCAAGGTGCAAGTTTCTTTTGTGTTTCTGGGTTTGGGAGTTTTGGTTTGTCTCTTGGGTGCTTTGTCTTTCTTAGTGGGTACTTTTTTCTTCTCTTAATAAATTTCCTTTTTTATTTACTACCCAAAAAAAAAATAAAAAACAAATGCAACATAAAAAGTCATAATGATTATCATGGGATTAGAGGAGACTAAGGTGTTCCTGATGGCAATAGGAAGGCAGGTGTTGGAGGAGACATGGAGGATAGGGAGAAGAACAGAAAGGGAACTCTTTACTCTTTAGGCTATCTTGGGGTCTGAACAAGAAAGCAGGGGCTACAGTGGCAGGGGTAAGGAGGGTAGGAGGGGAAGGACTTGAAAGTCAAAATGAAAGTGGAAGTGAAAGACTTCAGATCCATCAGCCTGATTGGGAGTGCATATAAAATTATTGCAAAAGTGCTGGCTGCAAGGTTGAGGAAACTGATGGGTTCCTTGATTTTCAATTTTCAGAGAGCATTTGTGCAGAACAAGCATATTTAGGATAATGTTCTTAAAGCAAATGAGCTCATTGATTCAATGATTAGGAGTGGTGAGCAAGGTTGATAGCTGAAAGTTGATTTGGAAAAGGCTTACAAGTTACAACCATGTAAATTGGCCTTCCTGGATTATATGTTGGATATAATGTGGTTTGGGCAAAGGTTGAGAAACTGGATAAAAGTCTGTACTGCAACTCCCAGATTTTCAATTCTGATTAAAGGCTCTGCAAAAGGTAACTTCAAGAGATCTAGAAGGTTGAAACAGAGGGACCTTCTATCTCACCTTTTTCTTTTAGTGCTGGAGGGTCTAAGAAAATGAGAGAGGGAGAGAGAGAGAGCCATTGGTGGAGGCTGTTTGGGTGGTTTTGAAGTGAGGAGAGATGGAACCAAAATTGCTCTGCTGCAGTTTTCCGATGATACTCTGTTCTTTTGGACGCTAAGCTGGAATGGGTTTTCAATCTACAGTATCTACCATGTTGGTTTGAAGTAGTTTCAGGTTTGAAGGTTAATATGGAAAGAGTGAGATACTGGCAGTAGGAGAAGTGGGAAATATAGCAGGTCTAGCGGAGGTCCTCCTAGGCTGCCAAGTGGGTAAGTTCCTATCCAAATATTTGGGCTACTTGGAGCCAGGTGTACATCCAAAACATTTGGAACCCAGCCCTAGAGAAGGTAGATAGGAAATTTGCTACATGGAAGGCTTGACATCTATCCAAAGGTGGTAAACTGACTCTAATAAGGTAGAAAATCCACGAGGAATTTTTTATCGGGAGGTTGAAAGGATGCTGAAAAGTTTCACTTAGTAAGCTAGAACCTTGTTTGTAAGCCCATGGATCATGGTGGTTTGGGGATTAGAAAAGTTAAAAGCTTCAACAATGCTCTCCTAGACAGGTGACTATGGCATTTCTGTACTAATCTTAATGTCCTTTGGAGGAAAGTACAGAAATGGCACAGCCACCTGTAGAGAAATATATTGTATTTGGTAGAATTTGGGTTTTCTTTCAAGGAGGGTGTTGACGATTGCAAGGGTATATTTGTAATGTTGATAAATTTTGGGGACTTGTATGTATTTATGGGAGGAAGAGGGGCCTATGTGAAATTCTGATATAATTAAGTCTTTTGCTTATTTAAGCTATTGGTTGTGTGGGATTAGGGTCAAGTGAGAGTGGATAATTTGTTGTCATTGTGTAGACTGTAGAGAGGTTAGCCATGTATCTCTTGTTTTCATAGTAGATATTTTTCCCTCTTCCCCTTGGATGTAGGCTACTGAGCTGTACCACATTAAATCTTGATGTTTTCTCTATTTCTTCTTCTTATTTTCTTATTGATTTGCTATTCTATTTTATGTTACTGCTCATGGTTACTATTCACGTTACTGTTCACGGTTACTTTTTTTTTATCAGCAACACAAAAATGATTTATTATTATTAAAAGGAGTACAATAGGGAGTTGTGGGCAAGGAGCAGGCCCAAAATCACTTCGAATATTTACAAAACAGCCCAAAACATGGATTGTCTCTGAATACTGTTCACAGTTACTATTCATGTGAGGATTGTGGTGCTTGAATCTGTGAAGAAATCTCTTAGGAACTTTTACCATTGAATGAGGGAATTTTTGTGAGTATTTTTTCATCATTTTTCTAGAATCTATCTAGACTCCAAAAGGGGTGATATTGCTTATTGTTGCTTCTTTCGGAAACCAGGAAAAAGTAACATCAGATGTTGGGTTTCCTTTTGGTTCTCTCATTACCTGGTGGAATCTAGACTTGAGCCTTTAGGGTTCACGTCGTTTTCATATGAGAAAGAAGATCAAAGGGTCATTTGGGCAAGGAAATCTGATCTAGTGGGTATATGAGGGCATCTTCTTGTCCTTATTTTTAATGCTATTAAAGTTTTTTTTTGGATTTATTCTTTTGTTGGCTCTTTGGAAGGATTCCCTCTATGGAAGGATTTATATCTTCCCTCCTTGTCTAGTGGGTTATGCTCCCTAGCATCTGAACTAGTTCATATTTTCAAGCAAATTCTGGTCTCTATTTTGCATATCAGCTGTTTAATTTATTGTCTAAAAGGTTGGTTGTTGGTCATTTAGCCAAGTTTGGTTTATTCTTTGGGAGTTCCACTTTTTTGAAGAAGTATTATAGAAGCTCTACAACTTCCCTGATCTATTTATGATTATAATATCATCATGTGATAGTAGAGCTCAAGGTGACTATTTGGTATTTGAGAAAATGTTTTGATGGTGCAAAATTTCTATAATGGTTCTCCGTTGTTATGATTGGTTCTAATCTGATCTTGTTTGTGGCTTGGTTTGCTATTTGGACTATTTTGGTGAATGATGGATCTATTATCATTAGTCAATATCTAGTTTGTTTAACCCTTACATGTTTTGCATGGAAGATGTTTGACAAAATGTTTCAGCAATGATCCTTTATTATGCTCATCAGTTCCGAGTTATTGTTGAAGAAATCCTTGGAGTTTTGATCTCCTTCACTGACATGGGATTTAGATTCACTTTATCTAGTTGGCTTTCTGATTGGCCAACTCTGATTCCTCAATTTGGTTTATGGTGTTCATAGTTGGCTTTCCGTTGATCAATTCTGAGTCTTTATTTTGGTTTATAGAGTTCAGCATAGTTGGCTTTCCGCTAGCCAACTTTGTTTTGGTAATTCTATTGGTATTCTGATGATCTAGTCGTTTGACATGGTTGGTTCTTCAGTTTGGTGATTGCGATTAGCCTTTTGATGG